TGTCGAACGCTAGGGGGCAGGAACAGGTTGCGCCAGCGGCTGCGGGGTATATATATACATATATATATATATTTATGTATATAGACATGTATATATATATATATACATATATATAGTATATATATACAAATATATATACACACATACATATATATATATATATATATATATATATATATATCATACCATACAACACATAACATAACGTAACATAACATTAACATAACATAACAACACAACAACACCACCACCACCACCACCAACAACAACAACAACAACAACAATCATTTAAGACTGGGGACACTCCGTTCTCACCAGTGCCAGGGTTTTCATAGGAGGCGGGCAATACCCCCACTTTGTGGGGGGGCCGGTTCAAGCTCTACCAAGTTTCCAAACGACTCTTCGCCACCACCCACACCCAGCTTCCCGCCCTATGACGTTCGGACACTTCACTTCGTGGCCTGCGGACGACCTTGGCTACTACACTGGCGCATGGGTACAATGACTTGTTGTGGTAACATTTTGTGGAAGCTAGCTTAGTATACGACTTATCCCCTTGTTCCAACACTGGACACCTGTACCGTTTTCCGAGATGGCTACGGATGTGACAGTGATCAGTGATTTTGTTTGATGACGTGGTGACACACGGACTTGTTGTGGTAACATGCCGACGACGATTTTCGAGGTCCCACGGTGCGATTCGTATGAGTTTATGTTGCGCGGTGCTAAATTCCTACGAAGCCAAATGGTTTTTGAAGATTTCGGCGTGCGCGCGCAAAGAAAAAACGAATATGTCCCGCATGGTATTATTTGACAGGGATGATGACCCTGGCAGGTGCGCAACGGTTGTTGGAGAAGTTCGAAGCACGTGAACAAGTTGCTCGGAAAAGCCCATTTGACAGAAATGTTGAAAAAGTGTTGGGTTTCCGACAAATCCGCAAGAGCGCGCGGGATGAAATTTTGACACGTGTTTTTTTTTTTTTTTTGAAAAAAACATTGTTTTTTATGTTTTTATGTTGAAATCGCTACGAACACTAAGGTTTTGGAAGGATTTCGTCTTGCGCGCGCGAATGTCCACTTTACCTTATTTTTTGCAAGGGATTCTTGAAGTTTGGTTATGTTAGAACAAGAAATGTCCACTTTAGCTGATTTGTTGCAAGGGAAAACGGGGGACAACAAAACAACCAGATCCGGACACCCACGTTTTGCCTGAGACTTCCTCACGAAAATGATGAAAATGTGGCTGCGGCCTAGGCGCGGCGAGGGGGCCGCGCACCAGGGGTCCCAACAATAATTATTCTTTAGAATAAATAATGTTCAACACCAACAACAACCATTTTAAGGCTGTGCGCTCCTACTTGCCCGCGAGTCATTCAACACGTATACCCTACACCCTCGATGCCCGCCCTCTTCGTCTTCGATCACACCCCTTTCGGGGGGATTAGTTCTCTTTGCTGGGGCCGGCGGGCTTAGACGTACGGGCAAACCGGAACGGGCGGACAATCCTTCGGGGGCGTACATCTCTCTGCCCGCCATTGGAATTGGCGCGGGCCCTGCAAGAGGAGGAGGGGAAGAACGAGGGAGAGTGGGAGGAAGGGGAGGGGGAAGGACGAAGGAAGAGGGAAGATACCACGTTGTGAAGGCGTCCTTGGCGCGTGCGTGGTTCCTGAGCGCCGAAACGCAATTCCAGAATAATTTGTGAGGACGTCGCACGCGAGAGCGCAGTCCTGAGTACATTGTGAGGAAATCTCGGGCGGAAGCGGGGGCCCTGACTAAGTTGCGAGGAAGTCTCAAGCGGGAGCGCCGTTCCTGAGCAAATTGCACGGAAGTCTCAGGCGGGAGCGGGGGTCCTCACTAAATTGCGAGGAAGTCTAAGGCGGGAGCGCCGTTCCTGAGTCAATTGCGCGGAAATGTCAGGCAGGAGCGGGGGTCCTGAGTAAAATTCGAAGAAGTCTCAGGCGGGAGCGCCGTTCCCACGTAAATTGCACGGAAGTCTCAGGCGGGAGCGGGGGTCTTGATTACATTGCGAGGAAGTCTCAGACGGGAGCGCCTTTCCTGAGTAAATTGCGCGGAAGTCTCAGGCGGGAGCGGGGGTCCTGAGTAAAAATCGAGGAAGTCTCAGGCGGGAGCCGTTGTTGTTGTAGCCCGGGGGGCAGGGTCACAGTTTGAGCAGGAAGACTTTCCTTGAGAAAAAACGAAGTGCGAGCCCCGGGGGTGGCACTTCAATCGAAAAAAAAACAATGTGCACCGGTGGGGGGGGGATCAACATTAATTATTCTTCAAGAGTGAGAGTTCAACAACAACAACAACAACAACAACAACAACAACAACAACAACAACAACAACAAAACATCGCCAGGCGCGGGGCGGAAATCGAGGCGCCAAAATGGCGCGAGGGCGACGCAGACCAGCACCGGGAACGCGAGGAAGGTGCCGAGCGGGGTGCCGCAACAACTGAACCCGGTGGCGACGAAAAACGACCCGAGCGCCACACATGGCCACGAAGGCGGCGACGAGGGTGACAAATCTGACCCTCCAAGAAAACTTGCCGAACGCGCGGTCCTCGCGCAAGGAGAGCACGACGATGCCGAAAGGAAAACAACCTCCAGGCCCAGCGTGGGCGAGTGACCGCCGCCATGTAGAAGAGGACCAGGGAAGACACCACGACCTCCAGGCTGCAGCCTCACCAGGACCTCCCCCAGGGAATGCGACAGCACCCGGCGGCGAGGGCGGTATAGACCGTCACGGAAAAAACGACCTCCAGGTACCGCGGAAAGTGCAATCACCTTCGCATAGATGAGGACCGCTCGGAAGACCCAAAAAACGGACGGGCTGCGGCCGCTTCAGGACCTTCTCGAAGAGCCAGGGCCCCTCGGCAAAGGGCACTGTGGACCTTCGCGAAGATAGCAGAAGGTCCCCCAGGCAAGGCAGCACGATAGCAGCGGCCAAGCAACGCGACCAGCCATCAGGGCGCCCCACGCGCAAAGACCTGGAGGCAGTTGAATAGCCGGCGCGGCGAAACCGTGCAAGAGGGTGCGGAGCGCCACAAAAGCGGGTACCCCGCGCGGGGGGCGGCGGGCGGCCAGCAGCACAGCAGCCAGGCTGGTGGGGAGACGCGAAACGTCAAGAATTGTCAGATGTTGCTTTTGTTATTCCGGACTTTCGAGAATTTCCGGACGGGGGTCACTTCTCCTTTTTCTTCTCGGCATAATATATATATATATATATATATATATATATATATATATATATATATAGAGAGAGAGAGAGAGAGAGAGAGAGAGAGAGAGAGAGAGAGAGAAAGAGATATATATATATATATATATGCAGTTTTACTGCACCTGTCCACACCAATGGTCTAATAGCCCAGTTTCCCCTCGGACTGCGGTTCGCCGCGAACCGCCCGACGCCCCCTCCCCCCGCAGCTGCACCAAGCCAAGAGTAAGACCCCCGCATCCAGAGCAACCAGGCGTGGCAGTCCACACTGGCTTCACTCTGGGCTTCGCGGGCCAACTCCACGCCAAGGGGGGCGTTTCAGGACCCAGGTCACACTGAGCCCCATTCCGCGGCACCGCAAAAACTGGAACAACACGCTATGCCAACTCCACCCCGTCGTGGCTTACTAGCCGTGAAAATGCGGTTGAAATCTCCACCCTCCACCTCATCTGCAGTGCATTAGTCTGCTTTCGGATTGGGAACTACGAGATCACTGCCAGGGCGAAGCTCGCGAGTATAAACAATCAAAACAAGATTTTGCAACTCTGAAAATGCCCGCAACAAACGCAGTCCATGTAAGAGAGCGGCGGCGGCCTGGCCCGCGGGCCGCGCACGCGGGAGGTCTGCCGCCGCACCTTCGACGCAGATGCGGGCCGCCATGCTGCTGGCCCACCTGCTCTTCGCGAGCAAGGCCTCCATGGAGGACGACCGCAGGAGAAAGTCGGAGGCGCCTCCTCGTCGGGCAGAGTGCCATGAGCAGCGCCCAGGAAGGCCCCGGCCGCGCGTGAGGGCCCCGAGCGCGCTTCTGGGCTGGGCGGGCGACCTCCACGACAGGGCTTCGCCCGCGGGCCGCTGCTGCACGACTAGCCTGAACATTGCCTTGGCAACTGCTGACCGGATGACGACGGCCTCTGCAGCGTCCTGGCCCGCTGGGGTCTTGGACGTCCTAATCCGCAGCACGACTGAGTCACCTCGGTCGAGAACGTCGTCCGTCGTCAACGCAAAAGCCTCGCCACCCCGCAGCAGGCCCTCGAAACTGATGAGCAGCAAGCAACTCACGTCGAACGCTCCGGCCTCCGCCGCCAGGCCTGCCATGCTTGCGACGATGTCAGGCGTGAACGGCAGCGCCCGCTCTGCTTGCTCCGCTCGACGCCGGGCCTTCAGCAGCGCCCGCGACAGGTCCAGCCTCCGCCGCAGCTTGGGCAGCAAGAAGCACGCGTCCGCGAAGGTGTTGTTCGCCAGCGCCGATGCCCACTCCGCTCTGCCAGATCGCCTCCGAATAGCTGGCGACTAGGCTGTCAGCATCCTCTGCCGCGTCGCCCAGGACACGCGCCTCCTGAGGGCTCACCCCGTAATTCCTCGGCAGGTCCTGCACTGCGCGAGCGTACCTCGCTCGAGTCGCAAACCCCGCTCGCAGCGAGGCGAGGGCCTGCTGGCGCTTCCCGCGCCGCTTCAGCTTAGCAGCCGCGGCCCGCGCGGGAGCACGGCGGGCCGCGCCTCGCCGCGCTTCCTGAGCCGTGAGCCACGCCACAGCTTGCGCGACGGCTCGTCCGCCGGGTTGTCCTCCGAGACCACGTGGCCGATCAGCGGGCGCATGTCTGCCGCGATCGCCATGGCCATGCGCATGTCTGCCCCAGCGCTGGCTGCAAGCGGCGGCTGCTGCAGCGACCCTTGGTCGCGATGGCCGCCGCGACCTGACTGTCGACGAGGTGAAACCACCGAGTGAAGTCTCGGGCTGACTTCCGCGCTCGCCATCGCATAGCTGCCGGCGCCGCCCGCAGCTCTCACACGTTGATGAGCGCGTGCGTCTCGCGCGGCCACGCCGTGCTCAGCGCGACGCGCCACCGCCACGCGAAGACGCCCAGGCTCGAGCGAGGCCGACCTCTTCGACGGCGCGGCAGGCCGCAATCCAGCCGCACGTCCGGGCCATCCACTTCCGCGCGGCTCAGGTAGTGGAGGACGAGACGCCTGGCCTCCTGTGTTCGGGTCGCCCGAGCTGTCTTCGAAGCAGCCGCGCTGGTCCCAGGCCCCCCGGCACTGGCCGATGCGCGCGATCTCGGGCGCGGACATGGGGCGCGCCAACGCGGACTCCGCCAGGGGGGCGTGCTGCAAGTCCCATGCGACCGCATAGACGCCGAATCTGTTCCCGAGCAGGAAGGCCCTGGCGTCTGGGGCGGCCTGCGGGTTCGAGCCCTTCGTGGCTGCCGCGGTGTAACTCACATCGAACCCGAGCAATCGTTCTCTCTCCGTGCAGCTTGGCAGCCTCCCTGACTGTCCCCCAGAACAATCCTGCGCGAGATTATTATCTTCGCACAGCGCAGCGTGATAGCGGAGCGAATCGGCCTGCCAGCGCGCTCGCGCCTCACCGGACGCCGAGGCCAGGCCGCGCGGCGCCGACGGGAAGCTCGGGAGCGGCCTGCGGCGCACCAGCGTCGGAAGGGGAGCGGGCGCCCGGCCCAGCGAACCCCCTGGTCCTCCCGCTCGATGTCCCGCAGCGGCCCGTTGTCTGCCATGACCACGAGGTAGCAGCCCTTGTCGGCAAGGCGCAGCGGCGGTGCCACCTGGACTTGCCAGCTGAGCCAGAAGAGCCGCGGCCTGCGACACGGCGCCATGACCGACGAGCAGATGAGGTACGGCTGAACTGCCATGCAGCTGGACATGGCCTTGACGTTCTCGTCTGTCATGCCCGCCACCTCGAGCAGCGAGTAGAACCGCCGCCCGAACGCCTGCTGCAAGAGCCGGAAGACCCTGGGCACCTCGTAGAACAGGGAGCTCTCGCGGCCATGCAGGCCCCCACCGCTCGAGTTGAGCCGCGAGAGGTCCTGGCACGGGCTGCCCGCGCCAGCGACGCACGCGCCCACCGTCTCCGAGAACGCGTCAAAGAGGTCCTGCACCAAGTTCTCGCCAACCCGCGCCACGTCGCCCCAATCGATCGCGCCTGCAGGCCAGCACAGCCGGACAACTTGCCTGGCCTTCGCGTCGGTCTCGGCGGTGACATCGGCGACGATCCTGACGGGCAACATCGAGAGCGACGCCGCGAGGCCGCCGACGCCGTCGAAGAGCCCCACGACTAGGACATTGAGCACCTTCAACACGACTGCCCTCGGGACCCCAGGGATAGACACGGTCCAGGGGCACCGCGGGTCTACAGGCATGTTGAGCAGCCGAGCGCCCACGCCGAGGTGATCAGCGACCTGGCTCATGGATTTGAAAGCCGGCGCCGCCTCCCCACGAAGGCTCGTGGACGCGCAGACGCCGCCCCCGAACTCCGAGGCGCCCGAGACCGTGACCATCCCCTTGATGCCAGCGCGGAGAGAGGTGGCCGCTGTAGGCAGCAGCATGAGGCCCAAGGAGAGCTCCTCGACCATCTCGGCATTGTACCGGACCGTGGATCGCGCCGTCGACAGGGGCCATGCAGAGTTGAGGAGGCCGAAGAGCGGGCGTCTGAATTCAAGAGCCCGCGCCAGCTTGCCGAGGGCCATCATGCACACCCGCCAGGGCACCCGCTCCTGCGACAACGTCGCGGGGCAAAAGGCAGCGGTACTCAGCACCATGGGGCCTGGCGCTGCAAGCCGTCCGCCGGCGCCATCTACGTCGGCCCCCATGCGCTCAACTCGCGTCTCCCGCAGGTGGGCCTTCTCCGCCGAGTAGGCCGCGCAAGCGCGCCTGTGCCTCTCCCGAACGCGCTGCTGGCAGACCGCCTCGGTGCCCACGAACTGCCGCGCCCGCGCCTCGTCCACGATCTCGGGCGCGTCGACGTCGTCGATGCACGCCTGCCACCAGCCGGCCTCGCGGCCACTGCCCAGCTCGACGATCAGGCGTGCCTCATCCTTCCGCAGCTCCAGCTCAGGCAGAAGCCCTGCGCCCCTGGGCGGCAGCAGGCGGCACAGCCTGCGGTGGAGGTGCTGGGAGACCAGGGCCGCCAACACCCACCCCATGGCAATCACCGCGGACGCGATGTACAACCGCCGCTCGGGGCGCCTGAAAAGCGCGCCAGGGGGGGGGGCGTGCCGACCGCCATGCAAGGGTGCCAGGCCTTGGGGGTCCTCCAGACGAAGGCCCCCTTCTGGTCGTCACCCAACCACAGCAGCAACCTGCCCTCGGGGACGTGCAAGGACACCCAGATCGTGGACGCCGCGAGGAGCGAAGCCTCACCGACATGCGGCTTGAGCAGGGCGTTGCCAGGGACCATGTTCAAGATCAGCCTGGTGGACCGCCCGGCGCCTGGCCCTGGCTTGCCCTTCTTCTCCACAGCGAAGAGCCCGTTCAAGAGCGGCTCGCCCCGGACCCTGACGAGCTGGTCCTCGCTCAGCACCGCGAAAACCCCGAGCTTCACGAGGTGCACCGCGAGCTCGCGCCAACCCGCTACGTCCGCGACGTTGACCTTGGCTCGAGGCATGGGGTCGGGCCAGTCGGCTTCGGGAAGAAGGGCCTTCTCGGGCGAAGCCAGCCACTCGGCAACGTCGGCTCCACGGAATCCAGAGCGCCCAGCGCCGCGGCATGCTCGGGCCGCGGCCAGCCTGGCGCCAGCTCCGCGAACACGCAGGGCAACGCCTTGGCCACGGGCTCGCCTGTGTCAAGTCCACGGTCGCCCCACTGAGGGCCGCGTCGGCGGCGGGCACGCTCGCCTGCTCGAACGGGCCCCCCGAGAAGTCGACGACGCGGGACTTCAAGAACCCCGTGGCCTGCTGCACTACCCGGGGCAAAGTCGGGCGATGCCTCCAACCCTCCTTGCAGCGACCAGAGTACGTGAAATTCAGCGCCGTGACGGTGAGCAACAACCAGGTCTTCTCGGCTACCTGACGAGCGATAGGCCTGGCCCTGCACCAGTGCCCAGCATCTCTGCTCGTGCATCAGCGCCTGACAGCCAGGAGACTTGGCAAGGGCAGCGGCAACAGGTCACGAACGCGCCTGCCGCCCCCGCTAAGCGTGGACACGTGCCCTGCACATTCTCTCGAAAGAAGTTCCCCCAGGGTGGCGCTCGAAGAGCTGCGCGAGGTGCGCTGCCATGTCGACGCTTGCGGTGGTCGTGCTGAACTGGACCGCGACCTCGTCGCGCCACGCCTCAGCGTCGCGCGCGGCACAGCCCGCGGCGAGAAGCCCCCGCGCGCCGTCTAGGAGCGAAGTGCTCGCCAGCCCCCGCTGCTGGCCCCCGCTGGGAGGCGCTCCAGCCGCGAAGCGGCTCCTTGCCCCCTCCGCCTCCAGCCAGGGGAAGTCCTCAGACGCCAGCAGCGACCCGCTGCTACAGAACCGCGCCGCGCCCTCCTCCTCCTCGGAAGCTGCGCCTCCAGCAGCCTCGGCAACGTCTGCTACCGCCTCTGGCCGCGCGACTCCGTCATGTATTTCCGCACCCGCGCCTCGTGCCCCTTCGACGCCTCGCCGCCCTTCTTCGGGCAGGCAGCCCTCGCCGCCTTGAAGTTCAGCGGCGCCTGCGAGCCTCCAGCGGGCAGCTTCGTGGCGGTCTCGTCGAGCTGCGCGACGCGCCGGCGAGGCGACCTCTCGCCATCCTTCGCGCTGCCCTTCGCGCTGCCCTTCGGCGCCCTCGGGCGCGCGATTGCCGAGCGGCCGCGCTGTCGCGCCCCCCCCCCCCGGCCTGGCCTGCAGGAGGAGGCGCCAGCTGCGGGCGCGCCACCTCCCGGCCTCCACTTCAACTCTGAGGCTTGCGAAGCCGGCTGCTGAGCTCCTCCAGCTTTAACCCGCCGAGCTCGACGCTGCGGATCATCTCTTCCTCCTCGTCGCGCAACGTGGTGGGTTCGTCCTTGGCGGGGGCCAGCTCGAGCCACTTCGCCGCGCCCCAGCGCCCGTCGCCGACTGCGACCTGCGCCGCCTTCAGCCGCTGGGTCAAGATGTCCGGCGCCTGAGGAATCTTGCCCTGGAGGAGAAAGTCGATCGCCTCGGCCAGCGTCCGCATCTCGCGACACGCAGCCACCCCGATCTGCTGCGCTGGGTTCTGCGGCAGGTAGATCGTGAGCAGGCACCTCAGCACGAGCGCCGTCGTCGGGCCCACCGCCGCGTCACCCTCGACGGCGCCGAGGAACTCCGCCACTTGCATCAGCGTGAGCTCCGACAACTTGCCAGGCTGGTCCTGCGCCATCTGCCTGCAGCGAACCTGCTTGGGCGCAAGCCCCCCAGTGGCCGCGGCCCCGTCGGCCGTGCTAAGGGGGTCCGAGGCGGCGCCAGCGTCCTAGCTGCCAGCAGCCTGCGCGGCCGAGCTCTTGAGCACTGCCACGAGCGCCGTCGCCAGCTCCTTCGCGCCCTCTCCCACAGCACCCCCGCCGGCCGCAGCCGCAGCAGCTGGGCCGCTCGAGCCGCGCGTCGCCTCGGCGCTGGGGCCCTTGGCGACCTTCGCCATGCGCTCCGCGAGCACCTCGACGAGGCCCCGCTTCTTCGGCTTGCCCTCGCTCGGCGCGGCCTTTGCGCTGCCTAGAAATGCGCCGGCCGCAGCGGTCCCAGGCGCTGCCGAGGCGAACCGGTTCCGCGCCGCAGCGAGCCTGGCCCGCAGCTCTTCCCGCGCGGGCTCCAGGTCGAGCGGGGGGCTCGCAACCCGCGCGGTCAGGACACTGTCGCCGACCAGCCCATCGACGGGAGCGTCGTGACCCACGGCCGTGCGCCTGGCCGCGCGCGGCCCTGCTGCCCCAGGGGTCGGCGGCGCGGCACTATCCTTCCTCGGGCGCGCCGCCCGGCGTGGAGCGGCCAGCCGCGCCGCACGCGGTTTCAGCAGGTCCGCAGGCCAGATCGCATCGGGGTTGCGGGGCAAGCAGTTGGAGAACACCTCGGCGATGTCCTCTGCCTCCAGCCTGCGGGCGTCCGAGACGTGGATGAGCTCGTCGCAACCCGCGGGTGCCTCCACGCCGCACGGCTCGTCCGCGCAGACGTGCAGCAGGGCGCCGGGGGAGATCGCACCAGCAACGCCTGGAGACGCCGCCCACCAGTCCCAGTACGCATCGTCGCTGAAGAGGAGCCTCGCGAGCACGAGCTGCTCGGGGGCGGCCATGGCCCGCAACGCCCGCCACACAAACCCGCAATGCTGCTCCCCGTCATCGCCGAACCCTGTGCTCAAGTAGAACGAGTTCGGCTCGATGACGATCGGTTCGGCGGGCGACGGTTCCAGCTCCTCCGAAGCGGCGGTCGCCTTCGATGAATTCGAACCCCAAGCCGTCGTCCAGCAGGTCGCCGACTGAGGCGACGACGCCGCCCCCGCGCGCAGCATCCATCTCCCAGCCTGGAGTGCGCTCGTGTTCGGCTCACCGAGCGCACACAACACGCCGTGGCACAGGCCGCGCCGCCAGGCCGCGCGACGGCGTCGCGCGGACGCCACGGCACACTGCGACCCTCGCGCCGCGGCGGGCACACCACAGCGACACGGGAGAGGGGAGCCTGCCGCGGGGCCAGAACTCACGGAGCCAGAACAACTCTGGAACGGAGGGTAGACGGCGTAGGGGATACACGCACCAAGTGATATGACCATACAAGCCAGTATACTGACATATATATATATATATATATATATATATATATATATCCAGTTTACGCTTGACCCCTGAGTAGGGCAGCTTGCCCTCAGATACAGTACCATGGTATGTGACTCTGTTCGTCACATATGGTCACCACGCACATGCTTTCCATCTCGCAAGTGCGCACCAACAGATGGTGTTCGGATGTCTTCGGTGACGAGAGGAAGAGCCAACACGATCTCTGGAAAACTCGAGGACAATCAAAAGGGCGTTCCCTTGGAGCAGCTTCCGGGATATCGAGGCGGCCTGAACATGTTCCGAGACAGTTGCAAACGCTTGCTTGTGCGTTCGCGCACCTCCTAAACTTGCCACACATGGGGCGCAAGAAGCTCGCAACTGGTCAAAATGTCCCCCACAACGCCCCAACATGCCGCCAGGGATTCCAACAGGCCCTGGCAGGCTCTGAGTTTTTGCACCCCCCAGGCCGCATCATGGCCTCAATACAATTGCAGAAAAACTCAGGAAGTCCCGAGTCGGGCCCAAGACAGCCCAAGACGCGTCAAGTTGGCCAAACCCTGGCTGGCGCAAGGCTCCCTAAACGTCAGCGAGAGGCAGCGTTAACATTAAAGATCGCGTGGTATGCGCTTACATGTTCACATGCCAATTGATGCTTTACTTTACGGCAGGGCAACTGCACCAGTAGAGCGCATGCGGCATCCAACTTATTAACAGAAACTCAGCAGAATGCCCCAATACGGCCCTGGCACAGCGTAAGAGCGACCCAAGACAGTCCCCAGACGGTCATCTCCTGGTCCACGTCGCCTGTCGGGGAGACGTAAGACTCGGGTTGGAAGAACTCGGGTTGGCCGGACGGGGCCATCAATGAAAATGACGAGAACCAATCTGAAACTTGACGCGAGCTCCCGCCGCAAACGTCCCACGAAAACCAGAGCGTCAAAATACGCGCTCGTCAAAATACGCTGGAGATCTTCTGACCCGGGTCAATCCAAACTCGGGTCAGTCAGGCCCTGCAGGATCCTGCAGGATCCTGCAAGGTCCTGCAGGATGCTGCGCCCAAACCTGGGTCAGTGCGACCCTGGCTCTGCTGGATCCTGCAAGATCTGGCGCTCGGACTAACCCCCGTTTGCATGGACCCCAGTCTCTTGAGCCCCAAAAACGTCGGCAAGCCCGAAATTCGGCGTACTCGAGTCTTGCGTTTCCCCGTCGCCTGGCCCGAGATGTCTCCAGGGGGCAGAAGGCCGTACCCTCACGAGCAGCCCAGGACGGACCGTCACTTTCCAGCAGGCCACCACGAAATGCCAACAGGGCTCCCAAAGACGCCCCCGCGACAGGCCCCGAGAATGACAAAAATGCATTGGCACGTACATGTTCCTTCACGGGACGAACATACAGTATACCCATCTCGTAATATATCGTTTCCCGAGCGGTGTCTCCAGAACATTTATCGGTGCACGCGTCGCCCATGGGGGGCCGACGCATACATAGTACTAGTAGATTGGAGTGACGCCGACTTCATGCACTTGTTGTTCCAAGCTGCAGCTTGACTCCAGAATGCTTAGGCTCTCGGCGCTCCCTGGACCCTGGACGGTTCCAGGACGGCCACCAACAGATCCTCCAGGGCGGTCTAGGGCAGACCCAGGAAATCCGCACGGACGTCCGACCGTTTACAGAAGGCTGATCAACGAACGACGGGGCTTCCCTGTCCACGGCAAGTATCGGCCACACAAATAAGTTCACCAATCCGGATCTAAGGAACGGCCCGAACGCCAGCCCCTGCGAAAAGCAGAGTGGTCCTCATTTCAGCATCTTGGCTGGAGCGCGTTTCTTTAACCGCATGCCGATGATAATAAAGGGACCCCCCCTTCAGTGTTTAGAGTTGGTTATCGTCGCCCTATACAAAATTCAAATTGGGCGGCGAGCGCTGAGGCCGAACTTCATTACCACCTCGAAACGCTATGTTGAGATAGCAACATCAACTTTCCATTTTTCCGTTCTTCTTCTCTTCTTCTTATTCTCTTCTTCTTCTCTTATTATTATTATTATTATATTTTCCTCTTCTTCTTTTATATTTCTATCTGTCCTCACGCTCGCCTGAACTGTTTTATCCCTGGGGTTGATTGTCCATGGAAAATGAAGCACATGAGCTACCCTACACGAGCACTTAAAAAAAAAACAATTTTCATAAAGCGCTTGTAAATTAAAATTGCTAGATTTGGAACTTTGGATTTTTCCTTTCTTCGTCCTCTTCTTATTATCATATTCTTCTTCTTTCTTATTATTACTCTACTGTATTCTTCTTCTTTTATATTTCTCTCTGTCCCCACGCTCGCCTGAACTTTTTTATCTCTGGGGTTGATTATCCATGGAAATTGAAGCACATGAGCTACCCTACACGAGCACTTACAAAAAACAATTTTCATAAAGCGCTTGTAAATAAAATCTAACAGATTTGAAACTCGAGATTTTTTCTTCTTTTCCTCCTTCTCCTCCTCCTATCATTTCTTTTATTTGATCATCTTGATCATTTCTTGATCATCTTGATCATCTTGATCATCTCTCCCAAAACGTGCTCGGCTTGGTCTCCTCTTGATCATCTCTTACTTCGAGATTATGCTGAGGTCTGCTGGGCTACTTTTATTATCTCTCCCTGAACCCCGAACTTCATTATCCCCCAGTGTTTACTCTCACGGGCATGAGGTTATGTTCGGCGATGACGGGCGTCATGGGGGGGGGGAGGGCGGGGGGGGATATGACGTGACGCCCACCCCCGCCGAGTGGCTCCGGCACCACAGCCGCGCCCGCGCGCACGACGCGACGAGCGACGAGCGACGAGAGACGACGACGACGCGAGCAGCATGTAAATGGCGATCTGCCCATTACGCCTGTGTACACCACAACGCTCGCGTGCACCACACCGCGCGTGTGCACCACAGCGCCTGCGTACACCGCAACAGCCGTGTGCAACGCACCGCCCGTGTATACCATAATACTTGGGAGCACTACAGCGCCAGCGCACATACACCGCAGCAGTCATGTGGCCCAAGGAGTGGCTCTTGAGTTGATTGTAAGTCTACACCCCAGCTCAGCCGCACTAGTGTGTGGCTTCTTCTCTGAAACTCGCTCGTCCCAGCAGCACTGACACCCATGCCGGCATGGAGCACGCACGGGCGCGCTGGTGGCCCCTGTGCTGGGCAATGGCACTCGCCATCACGGTCCTCGGGGAACTCTACGGAGTGGAAGCAGGACCCTTCCGGCAAGTGGCACTGGATCGGGACGATGCCGTCTGCGCAATCTCACTCCGAGAAGCGCTTGTGGGCGTGCCGGGGGTGCTCCAGCACGAACCACACGAAGACGGCCTGCGGCACGTGCGGCATGAAGCGCACCTACTCCGACGTCGTAAGCCTGACTGCACGGCCGCCCAATCCGGAGACTGGCAAGCCCGTCTCCAACAACCCCGTGGCGCAACAGTTGGCTTCTGTTGCAGCTGCTCTTGCAGCGGCCGCGCCGTCTGCGCAGCCGCCGTCGCCTCCGCCACCGGCTCCCCCTCCGCCTGCGGGCGTCCCCAGGGCGGAGGCCCCTACCACAACCACACCAACGGCGACTACGCCACCGCCTACCTCACTATCGTCACTGATTTCGGATATCAAGCAGTTGGAAGCGGTGGTGGCGTCTATGTCCTCGCCCTTGATGTCCACTGCTAAGGCCGAGCTCGAGGGCCGCCTGGCCGAGAAGCGTGCCGAGCTTCAGGCACTGCGTCTTATCGGCCAACGCCTGGACGGTACGCGCGCGGCCCTCGAGCGCTCCCGGAAGCGTCGGGGGCAAGCCGAGCAGGCCATGGCACTGGCTCAGTCGACGCTCACGGCGGCGGTCGAGGAGGAGAAGAGCTTGGCGGCACAGCTTGCGGAGCTCGAGGCCGCCGTCGGCTCCGACGCTACCCCTGCCGAGGCCTCGCTCGTCACTCTCGGCGAGCAGCTTGCCGCGGCGGTCGAGCAGGCGCGCTCCTTCGAGAACGTGGGCCCGGCCGTCGGCGACGAGGCGCAGCACGAGTCGGAGGCCTTGCTCGCTCGATTTCAAGCGACACTCCAAGCGGCCGAGGCAGCGATGCATGCCGCGAAGACCGCTGTGCCGAGGCGGCTGAACGGCAAGCAGCCCATCGAGCACCCTCCGGAGGCGCCGGAAGTCCGCGCCCCGGACAGGCGCCTGCCCAAGAAGCAGAAGGTCCAGTCCCACCTCGAGCACTGGTTTGGCCCCCTGAAGCCGTGTGGCTCGCTGACTGCTGCTGCTACCGCCCAGCCGCCGGCGTCCTTGGCCACCTCTGCTGCCAGGCCGCCCGCGCCACAGCCCTCCCTGGCGCGGAACTCCGCCCCCTCCCCGTACTGAGGCGAGCACGCGTTGAGGCCATGCCACCTTGGGGCGACACCGCCGCAGCTAGGTGGCCAGCGCTTTGCGGCGCCTCCGCACAGGCGCCATCACGACAGCGCCCGACGGAGCCCCGCAAGGCCCCGATGGCCGCCCGACTGCCGCGACCGGCAGCCGCACCTCAGGAGGACACCGTGCATGTCGGCACCTCCGAGGCTTCCATGGCCGGTCAGTCTGGCCATCGCTCCGATAACACGTGCGAGAGCCCTCCTCCTGTAGATGGGTCGGGGGCCCTTGCCCCGTGGGATCGCTACTCCCATAGCCACGTCGCGCCTCGGCTCCCACGCCTGGCCCGCCGTCGCCTTCGAGCTACATGGTGGGCCGCCCACCGCCGTCAGCTCGATGATCCTGCTCGCCGAGCCCCTGCTGGCTAGCTGGGCCGAGGTCGCGATGGCCGTCCGCGTCCAGGGGCCCTGGTCCTCGCCGACGCTGCAGTTGTCACGCTGAAGGTGGTGACCGCGGATGCGCAGACGCTCCATCCCCAGCAGGGGGGCTGCAGCTATTACCGCACGTCCCTGGCCTTGATGAATGGCAAGGCGCAGATCCTCGAACAACAATTCAGGCAACGGGGATTCTCGGCGGTGGGCCTTCAGGAGGACCGCGCCCGCCAAGCAGGGAAACGCAAGGGCGTCTACTTCACCATGTTCGTCTCTCCCGCCACGAGTGACGGAGCACTTGGAGTGCAGTTTTGGCTTGATCGCGAACTTGGCCATCATGTCGCTCAGTGGCGTGCGCGCTCGCCTCGCGTGCTGTTCGGGGTCAACGTCTCCCGCGAAGGCGCCGTGCACGTGTGGTTCTCTGCGCGCGCGCCGGCCTCGTGCACCGGCGCGGACGAGCGCCTCGAGTTCTGGACGGACCTCACTTCCGTTGCCGTCAACCTCCGGGCACGGTTCCCCAACGCCTTCTGGTTCGTCGCCGTGGACGCGAACGCGAGGGTAGGGAGGGCCCCGTCTGAGGCGTTCGGCACCGCTTGCCCCGAGCGCGAGAATGAAAACGGCGCGGCCTTGCGCATCTTCGCAGAGACGCTGCAACTCGTCGCCCTCAACACGTTCTCTGGTGCGGAGCCCACGTGGCACCACAACGCGAACACTTCACATCGGATCGACTATGTCCTCATCCGGAACGCCCACCAGACATGGGCTTCCGACGTCCACGTGCGCGCCGACATGGACCTAACCTTCAACGGGCGGCGCGACCACTCGGCCGTTTCGGCCGTTTGCGCTGTGCAGCAGTCCGCGCTGGGCTCTGCACCCCGGCCGCCTCCTCCCGTTCGCATCGACAAGGCGGGCGCTGGGAATGCGAAGTTGGTCGAGGCCTTCCAAACACGTCTGCTCGAGGCCCCTATTCCTGATGAGCCGCGCGTCGACGAGCAGCTGGCGCGAGTGAACTCCATCGCAACGGAGGCGGCCCTGGACGTCTTCGGCCAGGCCCGGCCCCTGCCCCGCAAGCCGTGGCTGTCGCAGACCACGTGGGACATGGTTCAGCTCATTGCACCCCTCCGACGATGTGCTCACCATGCCGGGCGACACCGATTCGCACGGTTTCAGCGAGCCTGTTTCGACGCGTGGCTTGCAGCACTGCCTGGGTGGAGGCTCCGGCGGGCACAGCATTCCGCTGCGTCCCCTATGTCGTCTTTCACCTTCTTCGCTCTGGGCGCAGCGGTGGACTCGCTGAATGCCCATGCGCGGGCGCGCGAACACGAATCTTCGTTCTACGCCGCCATTCTTGGATTGCAGAAGTGCGTGCGCACGTCCCTTCGCGCGGACCGCATGGAGTTCCTCGATAGCATGGTGATGAAAGCTCAGGCGGCAGCTGACGCGGGTGACGTGCGCACCCAGTTCGCAGTCGCCCGCGCCCTCGGCGCACGCTCGGCCGTCGCCAACACAGAGGTGTTCCAGCTCGACGGCACCCTCACCCAGAACGCCTCCGAGGAGATCGCACGCTGGGAGGAGCATTTCTGCGACGTCTTCACAGGCGAGCTGACCACACTGCACGAGATGCGACGCCCTGCACAGCCCGCCCACTGCGACCCGCGGCTGCTGGACGCGGGGCCCGCCGCGACGGCGGCGGCTTTCCGCAAGCTCGGCCGGAATCAAGGCGTTGGCATAGACGGCGTCCCCGCCGAGATCTTGGTGGCTGGCGGGGGCCCTGCTGCAACCTTGTACGCTTCCGTCAACGAGCGGGTGCTTCAAAATTACCAGTGGCCATTGCAGTGGTGCGGCGGCCTCCTCCCGCACCTCCACAAGCAGAAGGGTGACCGCAGACTCTGCGACAACCACCGCGGCATCCTCCTGGCTGACCACGCTGGGAAAGGCTTGGCTGGCATCGTCAAGGACGCGTTGGGGCCCACCGTCAACGAGCACCTGCCAGCCACGCAATTCGGAGCAGTGGCCAAGCGAGGGACAGATTTCGCGACGCACATGGTCCTCACTGCCACTGCCCTAGCCCAGGCGTGGCATGCATCACTGTTTCTGCTCTTCGTTGATTTGACCAAGGCCTTTGACAGGGTTATCCGGCAACTCGTCATGGGCTGGGGCGGCGTGGACAGCGAGCACCGCGAGCGCCACCTCCGCCAGCTTGGAGTCGCCCCGCGAGCGGCCCGGCGGCTGCACGTGTAGATCGAAGAACGCGGACCCTTACTGCAGCAATGGGGGGCCAACCACACGGCTAAGGAGATGGCCCGCACGCTTCACGAACATTCGTGGTTCCAGGTGCCAGGCGGGGACCGCGTCGTGGCCTCTCACACGGGGGGGCGTCAAGGGTGCAAGCTAGGATCCCTCGTGTTCAACTCGGCCTACACCCCGGCACTAGACATGCTCCGGTGGCGATTGCGCCAGGGGGGCCTGACCCTGCGCATCCCGCAGGCCCCTGTCGCTTTTTGGGAGCCTGCGCCCGCCGACGACCCGCGTGAATGCGAGATTGTGGACGCCACCTTCGTTGACGACGAGGTCGTTATCCTCCTGTCCGAGTATCCTCGGGTTTTGGCGCGTGCTATCGACGTCTTGCTCGAGATCCCGACAGGCACTTTCAGCGACTTCCACTTGGAGATCAATTGGAGCAAAGTCAAAACCGAGGGCCTAATTGCTCTCCGGGGCAAGCACTCGGTGGACGTTCGGGAGAAATGGCGGCAAACCGACGGCAGCCTGGCCATTCCGGTCCCGAATTCTGGGCACTCCCTTCACGTGTGCGAGGAGTACAAACATCTTGGCACGTGGGTCTCTGCGTACGGAATGTCGGTTCGCAATACCGCTCACAGGGCGCAGTCTGCGATGACGGCGTACGCGCCCATCTCCCGGAAGGTCTTCGGCTCGCCGCTGATGAACGACAAGTATAAGGTCTCGTTCTTGCGTAGCCTCACCTTGCCCATCAAGACGCTTCGCCGCTTGTCTGGGGTCTACATGAGAGTGCTTCGGCGGATTGCAGGAGACCCTCGTTTCTCCAAGGTCGTGGCGCTGACTGACCGGGAGGTCCGGGAGAAGCTCGATTGCATTATGATGGTGGCGCGCTTGCGGTATTTTGGCAGGCTGGTCCGGAACCGGCCGGCCGCCCTCTTAGCTTTACTGCAGGCCGGCGTTGGGGAACCAGAGCTACCGTGGTTAGGGTTAGCGACGGTTAGGGTCGATGTCGAGCGGGCGCGCTCTTTTGGCCTAGTGCATGATTTGCCCTCCTTGCGGGAAGGCCCACAGGCATGGCTTGGTCTGTTGCGGGACGCCACCAAGTGGGCCCAGGTCCTGGACAAGATATGTTTTCATGAGTCTTGCTTGGACCGGGCCGCTCTACCGGGACACTCGGAGCACAGTGCCGGGCGCGGATTGGGCCACCAGTGTCCAGTCTGCCCAGCGCGTTTTCCTTCGGAGCGAGCCTTGGCCAGCCACTGTCGGGCCAAGCATGAGCACCGATTGGCCGTCAAGCAACATATCGACGGTTCTGGCGTGTGCCCTGCGTGCGGCACCAATTTTCACACGCGATTGCGGTGCATCGCGCATTTGTCCGACAAGCGGCGCCCCACGTGCACGGCATGGGTGCTAGCCAACGTCCCTCCTGTGCCTCCCTGTCTTGGCCCGGCTGAATGAGCAGGACCGGACGGCCAAGCGCGAGGCTTGGGCCCAGGGGCGCACGCACCCGCTGGCTCGAGGAGCCGCGACCACCCGCGACGGCAAGCGAATTGGACACTGCCGGTAGCGCACCCCCGGCCCGCTGGCCAGTGCGTGCACGAGCATCGCGTTACGGCACGGTGTCTTGTACAGCTCGTCCCACGGCCAATGCGTCGAAGAGAGTCTCATGTACAGCATTTTACGCTCTCTGTCGTAACGGCGCTGGCCGGATCTTGGCGTTGCTCTTACAAGTGGTGTTTCGTCAACTTCGTGCTTCCGCGCCCGATCCCCGCAGCTGCCGCGCTATGTTGTATAGTTTACGCAGTCCTGTGAGCACCCAGGAGCCCTCCGTCCCCTGACTGACAAAAAAACAGCAGCAGTCATGTGCAACGCAACGCCTGTGTACACCACAGTGCTTGCGTGCACCGCAGCGCCTATGCACGCCACAGCGCCTGTCTACACCACAGCGTCCGCGTGCAACGCAGCGCTGGTGTAAACCACAGCGCCTGCGTGCACAGGACAAGTAGAAAGAGCATGTACGTCAGGATCTGCTGCGGACAACTAAACGCCACGCCAGGAAAGTTCTGATAATCGAATGCGACGTTTTTCCCTCCTCCCTCCACCTCCACCTCCTCCTCCTCCTCCTCCTCGTCGTCCTCCTCCTCCTCCTCCTCCTCCTCCTCCTCCTTTTCCTCCTTCTTACCCCCTGTCGTGCGGCTTGGCGTTACAACGCACGTGCGCATCTCAGCGTGCACCGCAGAATGGTCGATTGAATCGGTCCACTCGGTTCTCGGACGGCCAGTTTAGCTGGGGCCTCCTGGACGCAAATGGGAGTTAGGGTGATGCGGGGGGACTCGGGGGGACTCGTAGATTCCAGCGGCGCCCCTTTGTCCATGAGGATTTGTTTTCTATTGTTTTCTCTGGAATACACACGCGCTCCATTTTGTCACAAGGATCCCTTCTGAAATTCTATACACAACAATGGTGCTGTGTTGCACACGGCTGATGTGGTGCACACAGGCGGCGTGGCGTACACAGGCACTGCAATGCACGCAGGCATTGTGGTGTACACTGGTGCTGTGTTGCTCATGGCTGATGTGGGGTACGGAGGCGCTGTGGTGTACGCAGGAGCTGCTGTGCCCGCAGGCACGGTGGCACAAACTGACGCTGTGTTGCACGCGGCTGCTGTGGTGTACATCGGCGGTGTGGTGTACACAGGCGCTGCGGTGCACGCGGGCACTGTGATGTACACAGGCGTTGTGGTGCATATCGCCACCTACATGTTCGTGCTACCCGTCCTCCGTCATTCCTAAGCATTCCCAGACGCCGCCGGCGCGAAACGTGACGTCATCGACCCCCTCCCCCCCCAGATGATTGCCGTCATCGGCCCGGACAAAAAAACACGCTCCAGCCGCGTCCGCGCGTACGACGACGATGAGCGACGAGCGACGAACCACGAGCGACGACGACGGACGACGACAACGACGACGACGACGCCTGCGGACCAGACACCTATGCGGATTCCTAGGCGCACACCTACGCGGATCCCAATGCGTACGGCGGCAGTGCCCGGAGCGCACTGGGGGGGGGAGCGTTACGTCATAGGGGGGGGGGGGGAAGCGGGGGCCATGACGCCCGTCATGCCCCAAGCAATAAAGAAACGGGCTCCTGTATGCCCCACTCGTGGTTCTCTGGTTCTCGACCAAATCCTCTGGGTGGACCCGCGGACGGCCTTGCCACCAGGAGGAAGGAGAAGGGCTACCAGGAGTACCGCCTTGACAGATGTCAACAACAACTTGACGAAGACTCTCCGGAATGGGAAACGGCTTGCACGGCACTCGGGAGGAGGAAGAAGGGAGGATGCCTGTGGCGTGCCGGAAAAAGGCACCTCTTCCCGCTTAGCAGGGGCGCCTCGAGCACGTGCAGTCCTCGGCAGCCCCCAGTCGAGTCTCTGGGAGGATGCCGCGGCTCGGCAGGGCGCGCCCAGGACCGACTGGAGGGCCTGCAAGAGGCCTGCGTAAAACGCCTCCAAGACGGCCAATAGAGGCGAAAGAAGGCGAAGAAGGCCTCGAGGGAAGTCCCCCTGATCCTGAGAGGACCATCCTGAGGCCTGATGGGCGAAAATCTTTGTTGGGCTGTCCTGACGCACCCCAGAGATTCACTACTCCCCGCCCGTTCGGCATTCAGAGTGGGATGACGAGAACGAGGAAGATGAGAAGAGGGGAATACGAGGACAAGGAAGGGAGGGGCAGGGGCAGGAGGCGTAGCTGTATACAGACAAATCGGGAAGGGCATCCATGACAGGTTAGGTAGTCCGCATCATCACCTGCAGGCAAGCGATGCGAATAGGAGGAGGAGGAGGAAAAGGAGGAACAAGTGTTGAGGAGGCAGGAAGGAGGAGAGAGAGAGAGAGAGGGAAGGGAGGAGCAGTAGGGAGGAGGCGGATTCTAAGATTCTGGGGGGGGGAGGGAGGCGCAGGGGCACGAGGTCCAAGCAGGAATGAACGCGATGGGCCATCGACGGCGACGACGACATGAGGGAGGGAGGCAGGGAGGAGGGAGGGAGGGAGAGGGGAGGAGGGAGAGGGGAGGGAGGGAGGGATTCTACGGATTTTGCCGTCGCGTAGCGATTCAACTTCAGCAGCGCCACCCCTGATCCTGACGGAAAGACATAACCATAGGGTAGAGCAACACCCGCACGATGTGGTGCAACTCGGAAGCCTGTGGGTGGAGGCCTCCCAAATGGAGTCTGAGCACATGGGCTCGGGAGATCGCGCCGCATCGCCGATGCATCGGCGATGTCGGCGCGGTCCTCCAGCACCATCTACTATGGCCCCACCTGGGGGGCCCTGTGTCGGATGAACACCCTCAACGAGGGGCGGGGGCAGGAGGTAGACAGCAGCCGTCCCCCGCTGCCGTCCTCGCACCAGCTGCTTCACCTACGCCTGCTCCGACAACAAGTTCCACCAAATGGCCGCCCCGTCCCGCCGGGCTCGCGCCGCGGCCACCGCGGGCGGCTAGCCCCTGGGCAGGGGAGGGGAGTTCCTCCTCCTTCATCATTTAGCCTCCTCCTCCTTCCTTCCCCCTCCTCCTCTACCTCCTCCACTCTCCTCCTCCTCCTCCTCCTCCTCCTTTTCCTCCCTCCCTCCTCCTGCTCCTCCTCCTGCTCATCTTTCTGCTCCTCCTTCCCTGCAATCCTTCCTCCTCCTCCTCCTCCTCTTTCTCCTCCAACATCCTGATTCCTTCTCCTACACCACCTCTCTCATCTCTCCTCCTCCTCCTCCAACTCCTCCTCCTCCTCCTCCTCCCCCCCCCTTTCCTCTCCTCCCCCCCTTCCTCCTTTCCTCTCCATCCTCCTCCTTTTCTCCCCCTCCTCCTCCAACTCCTCCTCCTCCTCCTCCTCCTCCAACTCCTCCCCCTCCTCTTCCTCCTCCTCCTCCTCTGCCATCCTTCCCCCTCCTCCTCCAACATCCTGAGTCCTTTCCTACACCTCCTCTCTCTCTCTCCTCCTTCCTCTCTCCTCCT